CGCACGTGTGAAATTACATTATTATAACATGGGTTTCAAAATAGCGGTTATGTAAGTAAGCACGGGGGTGCAATTAGATGGACTATAAATAAAACGTAATACGTTAATCTTCTCCCTCTCTTTCACTCCCAAATCAAATCAAGCCAGTAAAATCACCACCACCACCGCCATGGATGCCCATCTGCTAAAAGCTTCAATGCTTAGCCCTTCAGCCCCCAACACCTCAAGATCTTCAAGACCCACTCCGCATTTGGTCTCCCACACCATTTTTAAGACCACCAACAATGTCTTTCGATCCAACGCCTGGAGAAAACCTTACCATTCTCTCCGAGTTTCTTCTTCTCCAACCTCTCCCATCAGGTACAGTCTTATACACACAATTTTGCGTACCAGTATGTTCATCTACATTGATTAGGCTCATTTTTCATTGTTGTTGTTATGAGAAATGTATGCTTGTTTGTGAAAGAGAGTAGATTGGGATTTGATTTCATATACCCTGCAAGTACACTTGTTTGTCAGGAGGGTTTCTGTATGATATACTTGCAAGGAAGGTTTTTTTTTTTTTTTTTTTGGGTATAATGTGCACTCGATTAGGAAATTTACAGCACAGTTTTGGAACAGAATCCCATTAGAATTTTACCAATCTAGTTCAATCTTAGATAGCTTTCAAATGGTGGTTAGTTTATATTTTTGAGTATTTTCCGGGGAATCAGTCAAAGTTTTGCCACAATCAGTGTAATTATTAGAGAACTCTACTTCTGGCATGGTAGCTTTTCCAGAACCAGGATATACATTGCAAAGCAACCTGTTGAGGCTACCAATGTAGTCCAACAGTTAATTATGATTTGCCTGCAAGAAAGCCCAATCTTGGTTTTTTCTAGCAGTGGATTAAATTATTTAATTATGATCAGCTGACTCATTTGATACTTTCATTTGTCAGGACTCAGGTGAGGTGGTTTTGTTATTTGTTTGTACTTGCAAATGGATTACTTTATTATTATGCTTGAGATCGAACGAGAAAATCAAGCTACTGTTACAAATAAAATAACTTGGGTCTTCCAGCCAAATGCTGCATGTGTTGTAAACTCATGTTACGTTTATCCAGGCAACCATAAATTTATCCATGGCATACTTAAGAAATCATAACTAGTTCATATGCGCAGAACAATGACTAGGTATCAGGAGGGTTATGTTGTCTCATTTGACAGGCCATTTTTGGCAGGCTAACTTCTGATATTGCATATTCTATTTCATATAGATATTCAAGGAAGAAAAGGGTGGATGAGAGTGAAAGTTTAACTCTGGACAGTATAAGACACTCTTTAATTCGACAAGAGGATAGCATAATATTTAGCCTTTTGGAGAGGGCTCAGTATTGTTATAATGCAGACACATATGACCATGATGCCATCTCGGTGGAAGGATTTCATGGGTCGCTGGTTGAGTATATGGTCTGGGAAACTGAAAAGCTCCATGCGCAGGTAATCTAAAAGAGATTGAAAAGATTGGTATAACTACTACAATCCTATTGTTAATGAATGCTACGCACTACACCTGAAGAAGGGAGCCCCTGTCATAATGTCAGAAATTTTGTTAATTGATTTTCATTGTGCGAGCCAGGTTGGCAGATACAAGAGCCCAGATGAGCATCCTTTCTTCCCAGCATATTTACCTGAGCCAAAGCTTCCCCCTTTGCAGTACCCACAGGTATATTGCAAATATACAGAATCTGGTACTTACCTATGTTAATGTGATCTATAAATTCAAAGTTCTCATCTAGAAAATTTGAAGGTACTTTTCATTGATATTATCGCTGAGTGTGGTCTTTTTCTGATGTGCAACTAGGTTCTGCATCCTTGTGCCGCTTCAATTAATATAAACAATAAGCTTTGGGATATGTATTTTAGAAACCTTCTTCCCAGATTAGTCAAAGCTGGAGATGATGGTAATTGTGGATCAGCTGCTGTTTGTGACACACTTTGTTTGCAGGTAAGCCATTCAGCTACTCTTAACTGAATTGTGTAGATCTTCATGATTCTCACTTCTGTAAATTTACTTTTTAAACACACGATACGATAAAAACTAGCTAAACACACATATAATATAGTTTAGGGAGTTAAGTGTCGCATTGTAATAGTTGAGAGGCTTGTTTTTATTTGTTCTCTGTTTTCGTCTCTTTTGTCTGTGGCGTCTGGCCTGGGCGGGCCTTCTAGTTGTCATTTTGTTTGTATTGGCTTTGGTGCCTTTTGGCCTTTATTGAAATGTTTCTTCAGACCAAAAAGAAGAAAAAGTAGAAAAAGTGTCACATTATAAGGTTCAGGGGGTATTAGTGAGTTTTCTCCTTGCTGCAGTCTTCCTCTCTGAATTTTCAGTCAATAAGCTAATATTTGCCATGCTTCTTATATAAAGAATTTGCCCTTATTGGTATCAGAGTCTACATCAATCGTTTTTAACCTAAAAATCCTTCCAATGTTGGTTGTTTGTCACAACAGGCACTGTCGAAGAGAATCCACTATGGTAAATTTGTTGCAGAGGCCAAATTTCTTCAATACCCAGCTGAATATGAGACTGCCATTAGAGCACAAGTAAAGCTCCTTCCTCTCATTGATGTGCCCTGATTTCATGCCTTGCTTGATGATTTATAATGCCACATTTTAATGCCTTTTGTTTTCTTTCTTGTGGTGGTATGTGGTTGTTGCAGGATAGGACTCAATTGATGGCCTTGCTGACATTCGAAACAGTGGAAGAGGCGATCCAAAAGAGAGTAGAGATGAAGGCCAAAACTTATGCCCAAGAAGTAACAATCCCCCAAGAGGAAGATGAAGCAAGTCCTGTATACAAAATCAAGCCACATTTAGTTGCTAGTCTGTATCGAGATTGGATCATGCCTCTGACAAAGGAAGTTCAGGTTGAATACCTATTGAGAAGATTGGATTAAAAATGAAAAATAAAATAAAATAAAATAAAAAGAAGTTAAACAGCCATCTTGTTTTTTAGAGTTCCACCCCTGGTGGGATTTTATAATATATTGCGGATGTGAAGGACTTGTAACTGTTATCAGTGAACTTGTCATTCTTATCTTTGAGAAACTCAACTTACATGAAAGATTTGTCTACCAATTTTTTCCAAATTAGGGTTTAAAGGATTCTTCCCGCATGTATGTCCAAAGGTCGTTGTCACTGGTCACTGACTGTGGCCTGGAAATTACGCGACCTTTGACCCCACCATGTGCAGAGCAACTTTAGCATCCAAAAGGGTAACAAAATATGTGACTTGTAGTTGGTATTAGAGAGTTTTTACCTTTATTTATTTATTTGTAAACTAAAGTATTCAACTTTTCTTTAGTAAAAACAAAAGAAAACATACTGAGGGAAATTTTGAACCTTTTTTTTTTTTTTGGTGTCTCTTCTTTCTCGGGTCTGTCTGAGGAGTCTGAGGGAAAGTTTGAAACTTTGAATTGAAGCCATAATAACTGTAAAAATCGGCGGCCGACTCACGAGGCAGCGTGACTTTACTCTCTCGCTATAAATTCGTCATTTGTTGATAATTGTGAGGGCGCATTTTTGTCTCCATTCTCCTCCCGCTTCGGACTTGACTAGAGCGGATTACTTTACCTATAAATACTCATCACTGCTTGCTTACTCACCACCAGTGTACTCATTAGAGAGAGAGAGAGAGAGAGAGAGAGAGAGAGAATGGAGAGAGCTCTAACAAAAGTGAACAGCTTAAAAGTTGGAAGCTTGTGGATCTCAAAGAAAGCTAAGGAAGAGTTCTCTAACATCTCTGACGACCTCACTGTAAGTACAGATGTTGTGCCCTTTTTGCTTTTCCTTTGTGTAATGTGGCTTGGCTGAAGTTTTGCCCAGTTCATGATTTTCTGCTAATTTTGCTTTCCTCGTGTGTAATTACGGGTGGATGAGATCTGATCTGTTAGGTTTTTGGCTGAGAAAAAGTGAGTTGGAAGATGGGTTTTGGATGAATATGAGAATAGAGGAATGGGGGTGGATGATTTAGGATTTTTTAACGATTTCCAGTTTCCCTGGTTCATTCATGATGGCTTTTGTCTCTGGAAAACAATCGCTTGTTAAACCAAACATGGGGTAACCAAACTGAGATTTTGTGCATTCTTCTTAAGTAGTATGTTTGTTGTTGCAGACTTTCTCAAATACTGTCGAGGAGAAGGCAAAATGGGTTTTCAACAAACTAAAAGGTGTGGAACAATATCTACTATAGTATCATTAGTATGCCTAAATGCAGACCAGGCAATATTTTGAACTTGCATCATATTATTATTACTTGTCAAATTCATTTCATGTTAAACCAATAGCATATTTTCTTGTTTATTGATCAAAAGATAGTTTCTCTTCCTTGTTGGTTCACCTACAGGAAAGCCACCAAAAAGCTTACCAGATCTCCTTCGAGAGTACAACTTGCCGCCGGGGCTCTTTCCGCAGAACATAACCTGTTATGAGTTTACTGAATCAAACGCCAAGCTGATAGTGTATTTGCCCTCTTCATGTGAAGTTAGCTTCAAGGATTCTTCTGTTATACGGTACGCAACCCGGGTAAAGGCAATTCTTCTGAGGGGAAAGCTCACAGGGATAGAGGGAATGAAGACAAAGGTTGTAGTATGGGTTAAGGTCACTTGTGTGGCAGTCGAAAGTTCCAAGTCCGATAAGGTGTGGTTTACAGCCGGCGTTAAGAAGTCAAGACCCAAGGATGCCTACATAACACCCCTTGACTTTGTTAGAGTAGACGAATTCTAAGCTTTTGGAGTAAAATGTAATGGGAAGATGATCTGAATTCTTGCAGCTTCTTACTTAATTCGCATTGGCATTTATATAGCTGCTTCTTGTTTGACTGCTTCAAATGCAGAGCATTGTTATGTGGTTATCTCACAATTTGGCCTTTGGATAAATATTATTGGGATCGATAATGCAATTGCTTCTTTTGCGCTTGATGTGCATTGTGTTTTATACATTTTATACAGTAAAACTCAATTTAATATTGAAACTTGCAATTCAATTAGGAGTAAATCAGAGAATTTTTGACAGTTTGATAGAATATTCATAAAAATTCACTTTTCTTTGTCGACAAAATTTTCTATAGTGGCTTTGGCTGCTGCAACTTTTCTCATCTACTTCCCAGATTACAAAGATGCTGCATTTGAATCACGAACAATCTCGTATAGTGATATAATGTTCTCTATACTCAATAGGAAGATGATGCACCATTCCAGAAGATCCGATTTTCTATTTTGAAGGACTTCTTGCAAGAAATGAATGTTGTGCTGCAAAGAAAGAGTGGTTTAGTTCAAAGAAAATATGAAATTATTCAAAGACAATATCTACACGTGCAAAATACCATCTTTCAACTTTCTATAAGTAACTTCTTGTCCATTCATATGCTTTTCCAAGTAATATATCCTAATTATATCCTCTTTTTAGTCAACCTCTTATGAGACAGAAGTAAGTCTCCATGATTTACGAACCAAGATGAATTTATAATGCTTACAAGGGAAAAAATACCTCTACAAATTTTAATTTAAAATCCAAGTTTCCAAAGCGTTGTGTAACCTCATACTCTTCCCGAAGGTACTCATGTATTTTAGCATATTTTGCATCCCTCCAAGCAATTTCTGATCTGATGGATAAAGAACAAAATTAATATGAGAAGCTGCAATGTGAAGTTGTGAACCAAGCTGATGTATTCAAGTAGTTGAAGCAGTGTCAGATAAGAAAACATGTCAACTGATGAAATCATAAAATTTGGGTTTAATCTGATCTTAGCTCAGCTAAGTCATAGTATATTTTCTGAATTTTCAAAATAAGTTGGTACCAAGATTTCTAATCCAGAACAGGGGAGAAGTTGAAATCAATGAGAAGAAGAACCATATTCAATTTCCAGGTCAGTAAGAAAACTAGATCATCATGTTTACAGAAGGACCAACTCAAAATGCAAAAGATTATCACTAAAAAAAATCCAAGGACAGATAATGGCATTACCTCTCAAAAAGACCAACTTTAAGAATTACATCAGCTAGGTTTGAGTTAGCCTTCCCAACAAGTTGAAGGAGCTTCTTTTTATGCATTGTGAAAGTTCCAGTTTTCTCCATGCCACGATTTATATCTGCAAACTCTTCAACCATACCATCAACCTAGAGAGAGAGACCCACGCAACCGCAGCGTGGGCAGGGAATGGAGAGATTTAGATTGTAATGATATAAGATACAAGGATCTCCAAAGAATTTGAAATGCAGCTGTAAGCAAGATAGAAACACAATGCGATCTTTTCGCATAAAATTGAATCCTTGATAAGAATTACCTGTGATACGAAATAATCTAAAGCAATGCTTTGGCCAAGCACACTTCCAATAATGCGAATAGCATCAGTGTCCAAAGTTTTAAGAACTATGTAGTCTGGGCCACCCTGCATGTCCTCCTCCAGCTTTGGCTTCTCTCTTACGGCATAATCTAATGCAAGCACACGCAAAGAGCCAAAAAGTAAATTAGGGTTCGTTTCGGAGTGATTCTGCATATGCCAAAAAGAGCTTCTATGGAGAATCAATTCTCCAAATAATCACTTCTATGGAGAATCATTTCTTTAAGTAATTTTATGGAGAAGCACATAGGTGGTGCTTATACTCAGAATCACTTAAAATCACTTAATGTGATTATATGGAGAAGCACATGGGAGGTGGTTCTCCCCAGAAGTGATTCTGGCCTATCCAGAATCACCCCTAAACGAGCCCTTAATTATCATAATAATTCAAAATGTTTCAACCTTTTCCTTTTCAGAGTACATCAATATCTAGAAAAATATTAGCATTTGATGATTCAGTGGAGTTGAACTTAAATCATGTGTAAGATCAAATCAAGAGCTCAAATGAAATAGAACTTAAAGAAATTTACCGTCTTTCCTCATCTCTGGAAGTAATCCAGAAGCATGCCTTATAACTATATCAAGGTAAGCTCCAACTTCATGGTCCTCAACATTAAACAGAACAGCAGATCCATACTGGAATACGACCATGTAACGACAGTAGCTCGGTTTCCCCCAGATTCCAAGTTCCTAAACGACAACAGAACTGTCATATTAATTATACTCAACGCTGCTATTAGTTAGTACCAAAAAAGAAAAGTAGACTTGTAGTCAATAGGACATCAATCAGTCATTCCATATGTAGCATATCCCAGAAAGTATATGAAGAAAATAGCTTATTCAACTATGCAAATTCAAGCATCTGTTTCAACACAAGAGACAATATGCTCATAGCAGTCGGTAAAAAGAGCTCCATAGGTTAGTACGAGGAGTGATCAAGGTTCCATTGGACCATCTGAATGACCACATACCTCTTCACAGGGGACAAAATAACAAATAAACAAAAAATATCTGATTGGCAAACTAGCCTGAGGAGATATGCAGTTGTAACTCTGTTCTGATTTATGAAAAAGTTATTCAAAATTGCTTAAAGCAAATTAGTATAAAATTCAGTTCAAATTCCTCTTATTATTGCTCAAAAAAGAAAAATGAATGCATTGCACTGCCTCAATGCAAATTTAATGCCCCAAAAATCATTTCTTTATATATATCATGAGGCAGAATAGTCTGAACAAGGAAATTTAGTTAGAAAAAGAACTTCAACCAAGCAAAGTATCTTATTAATAAAATCATCTTACAGCATTTTGTGAAGGGAAATCGCAAAATCTGAGGGCAATATAATTTGTTGAGCGAGAAGAAGGAGGAATGACATTGCTTAAATTCTCGGCTTGCATGCTCTTCAAATTGATACTGCGAAAACCATGAATCTGAGAAAGCCAAATCATAAAGAACATAGCCAGAAGAACTGAGAAAGTGAGAGAGAACAAAGAGTGGAAGCGCCCCAGTACAAAATTCGTGACAGACCCAAAAATGAAAATCAGAATCCCAGATCAGATATAAGAAAATGAAGAGCATAGAAGCATTAAAACAGTATAAAATAGTCAGAAAGTTGAAAACAACGGCTTAAAGCAAGGTTCTTTTAAGGAAAGTGATTAGCTTGAAGAAACCATATGAGCCTATATCAAACGAAAAACACATATGAAGATGTCATAAATATATGTCGGAACAATCAAAACCCGCATGAAGATTCAGATAAGTAAGAGCTATAATGGCTAACCTGGTACAAAGAAAGTAGGCTTTAACAGGAACTTTTTTGGTTTCCTCGTCTTCTTGAGCTTGGCTGTGGGCATAATAATGAGGCTCAGAGTCATAATCATTGGTATCAATGGAAACCCGAGATGGGATTGCAGAGAAAGGTCTTGAATTGACGAAGTGAAAGCAGAAGATGGGGCTTGAAGGACGTAAGAGATGGAAAGGAGGCTTCGCAGCTACAGAAGATTTGGAAGCTGTGGTGGCTACGTGATTGAGGAGACGAGAAGCGGCTCTCCACCTCCCCATTCACTGAAATTCAAGGTTTTGGAAGTTAATTTTACTGCCGTGTTTGCCGTTTCTTCGGTTTTTTCAAGTGGGGCAAAGTTTTGTTAGTTGTTGCCTGCAGCTTGTACTCTATTCCAACTTTGTTGTAAATACGACATCTCGTTTTATATGAAAACAAACGACGTGCAGTGTTTATTGCTTAACAACCTAAACTCCCTTTATTTATTTATTTATTTATTATTTATTATTTTGTTCAGAAACAAACCAGAACCCTTGAAATTGAAAGGCTGAAAGCCAGTCCCTTTGAGCAAACGGAAAGCGCGAGGAGTACAACGAATATCTGAGCAGAGAGACTGAAGACGAAATATGGCTGTTTTTGGGGATCTGAGGGTCTCAGCAACACTGGCTTCTCACACAACGCACTCTATCCGGAGCTCTTTGCCCAATTCAAAGGTCTGAATTTTTTTTTTCTTCTCCCTTGTGTTGCCCAGTGTTAATTTTTATGTATTTATGTCATTTTGTCTCTGATTTTAAGTGGGTTTCATACATTTCGTCATATTTCGCTTTCTGGGCTGTTTGGTTCTCGGGAAAGCGTGAGAAATGAACTGAAACTTTGGGTTTTGGTTGAGGTCAACTGTGCGATACCGATTCCCTCTTTCCCCTTGTAGACAACGTTTCCTTAGTTGGAAGACGGAGATGTTTAAGAATTGGGGTCTGCCATAGAACATAAGTTTGAATCATTGTTGCTAAACCACCAGTTACTTTTGAAGCTCAAAGTTCACAGACAAAAAGAAAGTGAAATTCGGTAATTTATGCGCATTAACCTGAGTTGTATTTCCCGCTGGACTGATATCTAAAAGGAAAATGCTGCGGTGGTAGAATGAAGGTCCTTGAAAGTATTGCTTGTATCTCATTTGACTCAGATTTCACTTTATATCGTCTGTCTACTGAGTCTAGTCTCCAAGCCTTAAGGTCATGCAAAGCGGTAAACAAATGAATACACTCGCTTTTTATTCACTGGAGGGTTTTTTTATGTTTAAGTGGGATATGTCTAAATGGAGCACTGCTTCTTAGGTAAAACTGAAAGCAGATATGACATTGTGATTGTTGACTTGTTGTCATAGTCATCATCAAGCTGACCATGGTGTTCGTCAGATTAATACTTGCTTGTTTTCTTCCTTTGCTGTCATATTGGATTGGGATAGTCATCTAGGTGATCAATTCTAGATTGCCTATGAGTTGTCCATTCAGCTATGGTATCTAATTAAGATCTCCCCTGGTGTTTGTATCCACGGTTAAGTTTATTCTTCTAACCTAAGTTGAAGCAGAAATTGAAGTGCTTCATTTCTTTATGGTTGGTTACTTGCAATGATCTGTATGCTTGGTTGCCCTGATGGTGCCCCTAAAGTTTTTTACTTATTCATGAAGGGAAAGAAATCATCACTTTCATTTTAATATTGAGAACCCATCAAGTAAACTTGCTCCTAATTTTCAAATTTCATCAGATGGTTTAATTATATATGTAAACGTCTTCCTCTGAGTCTGCTCAACTACCAAGTTTTGTTTTGTGTTATAGGTAGACTTTGCTAGCTTTTCAAATGGAGGATCTAGCATTTCTGACATTGCACTGAAGTGGCCCAGTATGTCATTTGATCGACGCAGTATTCGTCAACATTCCAAGCGATTGAGTGGAGATTTTCAACTCTCATCGAAGTCGAGCAGCCAAGATTCCGAGAGCTTCCTTCTTAATGCCATCAACATGAGTTTCTTGGACCGTTTAAACTTGGCTTGGAAAATAATGTTCCCGTCTCCAACAACTAGAAGGAGCTCTAATGCAAATATTGCCAAGCAGCGCTTGAAGATGATCCTCTTCTCTGACCGATGTGCAGTTAGTGATGAGGCTAAAAGGATGATTGTCAACAACATTGTGCATGCTCTATCAGATTTTGTTGAGATAGAATCACGAGACAAAGTTCAGCTGAGTGTGTCTGCTGATACAGATGTGGGAACCATTTACTCCGTCACAGTGCCTGTAAGACGGGTTAAGCCAGAATATCAAATTGGAGACGAGACTGGAACCATAACAAATATTGAGTACAAAGATACTGGAGAAAGTTCTGGTTCTGTTGATGTCAAGTTTGATTTCTTCATTCCTGACTAAAGGAACCCAATGAGTTTTAGGTTAAAGAAATAGGTTGTGTTTCTCTTTTAAATGTTGGGATTGGACCTTGTTCTTCTGTACATAAATGAAAAATTCCTGTAAGGAGATTAGAGATGTGTTTTTCATCTGTCGAATCGAATCCACGGTTTGGTTTTAGTTTTGGCTTTAATTATACTTTATCAGTGTGTGATTTTGTCTGTTAGTCTGCTTATCAAGTTCATGACAAATTTTGTGACTGGTATGATATCCAAGCCTGTTTTCTGTTGATAACATCAGTGGTCTTGACTCTTAAGCACAATCTTTAGGGAGACTGTATAGGTGAATATGCCTTTTGTGCGATTAGTTATTGGTAATTGTCCAAAAGACCCGAAAATACAAATTTAAACAAAAACAAAACTCATTAATACCATGTTGAAATTGGTCCATCAATGTAACCAAAAAAAAATATTGGTCCATCAATCATGATCTATCCCCAAAAAAGAAAATAATAACAAAAAAAAATCTCCAAAAATAATAATAATAACAAAAAAAGGAAAACAAGCGGGGATTGAACCCGACGTGAATCGAACACGCAACCTTCTGATCTGGAGTCAGACGCGCTACCATTGCGCCACGGATCCACTTGTTGTTAAACTCATCACTAAGTAAATATTAAATCATTAAGTACTAATATGGCCTGAATTTAAATCCAGCAGATAATTATTCCTCATTGAGCGGGAACTTTTCAGGTTCTCTCTCCCTCCCAAATCTTCACTGGCCAAGTTCTAGGGTTTTCTGGAACCTAAAGAGGCGAATCGTCTCCCTTTCTCATTAATTCTGAAGAAATTACTGAACTTTCTGTCCCCAATTCCATGTTCGTTCTCTGTTTCGATGTGTTGAGTAAGTTCGGTCTGTAAGTGCACCAAAATGAGCGGAGCTGCTTTGAAGTTCGAAAACCCAATCCGAGATGCAATTTCCAGAATCCGGTTCGCTCCGAAATCAGACAACCTCCTCATCTCTTCTTGGGACTCTGTGAGTGGTACTATACTTTTGGGCTCAACAATGTGGAGTTCATATCACTTTTGGCTTTTCAATAATAAAAGTCGTTTCTTTGCGCAGAGCCTGAGATTGTACGACGTCGGAAACTCGGCACTCAGGTTAGAAGCTTCGTCGGAAGCTGCGCTCCTCGATTGTTGCTTCCAGAACGAGTCCGTCGCTTATAGCGCTGGCTCTGATGGCTTCATTAGAAGGTATGCGATTGAAATGAACTTTAATCACATCCTTAATGTTGTAATTTGCAGTTTTAATCAGGGGTAATAGTAATTTTCTGAGAGGTATGCAATCTTAAGCTGGTTCTAATGTTTGGGACTGTTTTGAGTTTCTTATGTTTTCTTGTAACATTTGAATTTTCTGGGATTTTGTGTTTCATGTGTTCAAGGTATGACTTGCATTCTGGAAGTCATGATTCAATTGGAAATCATGATGACACATCAACATGTGTTGGATATTCTGATGAAACCTGTAAGCTAGCAGTACTATTTCATTCTCATTTTTATTGGATTCTTATTTACCTTCTAAATATAGCCTTTAAACTTTACAGTAGTGTTGGTTTCTGTTTTCAAATTTTCTGTAGATGCTAGGGAAAAAGTAAAGTTACTTTTTTGTTAGGTGATAGAATTAACAAGGATAATGAAAGTTTTGATAGTATTTGTATATAAATCTTTTGCATAAAATTTCATAAAGCTCGGGATTACCATAACTGCATTTCTAGTTAGCTTATTCTGTATAGTACTGAACATAACTGTTAACAAGTTTTCACTTAAAATTGTTGTAGGCCAAGTAATCACTGCTGGTTTGGATAAGAAGATATTGTCCTGGGACACACGTACACCGAAGGGTATTGTGTGTGTAAGAAATATGGATTCAGAGGTGATGTCCATGTCACTCTCAGGCTTTGATATGATGGTAGCCATTGGAGCATCAATATATGTATATGATTTGCGCAGGCTAGAAAATCCATTTCAATCCAAAGATTCACATATGGGTGTTCAGATTGTATGTGTTAGTTCAATTCCGTATGCTAAAGGTACTCTCACAATACTTCGCGTAGCAGTAGCTCATTAGAACATCCTACCAAATGTTTGCTTGAATTAAATACTTTATATTGACTCTATGTCCACTTGTTGATTTAGCAATACAAATCACAACTTGTATTTTATAAAAGTCTTTGAATTGTCTTTGCAGGGTTTGCAGTTGGCTCAGTAGATGGACGTGTAGCATTGGAGATTTCCTGCCCATCGAATTCAGATGACATCAGGTCAATTCTCAGAGTCTATGTTATTATTAGCATGCCCAAGCCTGCCATGATATGCAATTTTTATTTCCGAACTGTCATTTCTTCTGTTGCATTTTGTGTCTTTGGAAGGAAAACAAAGAGATTATTACTTGTTTTAATGACCTTTTGGGCTTGAGTCACACTTTGTCTTGAATTTTCTCACAGATACTCTAACATTTGTCTCAGATATATGTTCCGGTGTCATCCAAAGTCAACTGACAGCAAATATCATCTGGTGTCGGTGAATGACATTGTATTCAATCCGATGTATGTGTAACTCTATCAGCTTTAACCAACTTCCATAATGAAAACTTACTTTTTATTTGATGTGTCTGATCTAGCATCTACGGTGCCTTTGTTACTGGTGACAATGAGGGTTATGTTACTGCATGGGATGCTACAAGCAAAAGGAGGCTGTTTCAGGTATTTTTAACTAAATTTGAGTGGATTTTGCTTATTCTCCTATCAAAGTGAATGTATTTTGCCTTAATTGCTTGACTTAGTTGATTTAATTGTTGAAGTGTGTTCAGTTCTTACTATTTTCTATTAGCTTCTGTAATCTCTACATATTTTCAGTTGCCTAGATACCCAAACAGTGTGGCATCCTTATCGTA